GGCTACTATGAGAAAAAGCAGAGAGAGCATAATGTTAGAGATTGAACTAACAGAATAATCCTCTGTTAGAACTTAGGAAGCAGTTTTTGCTTTGATCTAAATTTCCCATCCCTCGTCTGTCTGCTGTGTTGTTTGGTGCATGCATTTCATTCACTCATGGTTTCTAAAAAGACTTCTAAGGCCTACATAGAACAGTTGCATATATTACTGGAATCAAATGAAACACAACTGGTCACACTGATATTTACTTATATGGGTTCAGATTAGTTTTAGAGTCTGGGAAGAGCAGGTCAGGATCAAATTTTGCAGAAAGAAGAACCTGCAAGTTTTTACATGTTTCATCGTAAAGTTGTAATTGATCAGATTAGTGTGAAAACGATACATGCATTTTCTCTCAATGTTTGGCCATAAATTGTGTCTTGGTTTGTTAAAGTTTGTTTTATGACATCACTGTGTTTATAAGCTATTTAGTGTATATGTCGGTAAGATAATAAGATATCAAAACACAATATCTTAGTTTGTACACAGCACATTGCATTCTTATATGAAGTGTTTCATCCTGTATGCTGCATTAAAAATACATACTAAGTGCTTCTGCGTCTCTATAAACATCAGTCCATCTGATGAGTTGCTTTGTAATGCAGCAGCATCAGTGCTACTTGTTTTTATTTATTTATTTATTTCTTAGTGGGCTGAGTCAGCGTGATAAACTGAGTCTTCCTGGACAAAAGCCTGACTTCGCTGCACCACAGCAAGCCGATATGTGCCAGTGTAAAAAAAAAAACAGATAAAACCCAGCCTGAGCCACTGCATAGATGGCTCGGTGGAAGGATAGGTGTGGCTTTAGATATCATGTGCCACAGCAGAAGCATTAGTTATGTGCTGAGGTGCACGTGTTGCTCCTCCTCGCCTGTGGCCACTCCCTAAATTCCTGCAGCACAGGCCTCTCACCCGCAAACCCTGTGTGCTGTTACTCAGTGAAACCCAAACCTTTGTCCTGAGATCCAAAATAAGAAAAACATGCATCTATTTTTTTTCTTTCCTCTCCTTATTTAGGATCTTGCACCTATTGAAGGAGTCTTTAAGGGGTTCAGTCATGGCATGATGTTCCCTTCACCTCTCCAGCATTTATGAGTCTCAAGCTCATCCTGGAGCTGGAGTTTTTTTTTATTACATGCATTGATGAAGAGATATTATTTGATTTAAATCATAACAGAAATCACAGTCACATAGTTGTTTGCTCTGTAAACCAACAGTAATTGCATGAACCTCAGCTGAGGCCCTTCTCTGTGACGCTGGCTTTGTGTCAAAGTGGGGTTTCCTCCTGAGGTGTGCGTGGGCAGGCTCCCCACCTGCCTGTTTCATAATTGCCCCACACTAGAGGAGTCTTAGACATCCTAAGGTGGACACTGTATGCACAGGAGTTGCACTGGCAGAGAGTTTGAACTGTGATGCTGCAACTGTGCATGATGCTCCAACAGAATAAATGAAATGTTATACTTTATGGCAGAAATATTTTCCTGTCTGTTCCCAAGAAAATTGGTTCCTCACTGTGAAACAAGGATCAGTTTACCAAAAAAAAGCAGGCACACAACCGGTTAGACAAAGAACTGCACTATCAAAAACTGCAAAACACTTTTTTTTTTCAATGTGCATTGTCATTCTGACTCTAAATAAAATGCTGTTATACTGTCAAATAACCACCAGGGGGCACACTTGGTTTAGGTTTCATATCCAGCCAATGGTTAAAGAGGACATTTTAAGAGAAGAACTATTTCATCCTACTGTGCCCCTCTGACCAGAGACATTAATATGTGCCTACAGGGCGGCCATCTTGGGTCAGACCGCAGGTCAGACAGCTGCTGTCGGAATGAAAAGGAGGCGCTTTTGATCTGATTTTAATCACATGGAAGACAACTCAAGGATAATGTCA